TCACCTCTCCAAATTTAACCAGAAAAATTCTTTACAAAGATAATAATCGTTAACCTACGAAAACATTCTCAGGTCCTGTCAAAAACTTGAATTATTACAAGAAGTCAAGAACAGGAAAAAGTTGAAATAATTAACTACTACTGATTTGGAGAAATTCAAGAAATTATTGAATCTGGTAGGACTTTTTCGGTATAGCCAGGTCCTGTTAAAGACTATGAGAAAAATTTCGGAGATTCACGCTGAATTACAGCTGGAGTAACCATTCACTTCACTGATAATGCACAACTAAGACACAGTAGCATACAAACTATAAATGTTTAATTCTATATTACACGCCCACCTCATCTTAGTAGATAACATTTATCTAATCTTACTGAAATTATGTTTGAGGACTTCATTTGGGGACAAACACAATGGTTTCTTTTTTTTTTTTTTGATAAAGAAACAAAATGGTTTCTATGGTGGGGAAATAGCATTGGAACAGCTCCTGACTTAAACAATGCGTTGTTAAAGGCATTGTGCCATTGGGCTTAGGATTCCAGCTGATTTTTTTTTTTTTTTTCAGTAAGCCATTTTGTCTTCATTTTTCTTTTTTCTTTTTCTTTTTTTTTTTATTTAAAGAAGAATAATTTTTCTTATAAAAAATTATTTTTTTGAGGTGACTTGTGGTCCTTTATGTAGGCCTGGACCATAAACATAATTTATGGCATTTTTCACTTTAAAAATAGATATATATATATATATTAAAGGGTAAGGAAGTTTGTGATTTAAGCAAGTTGATAGCCAAATCCTTCGGTTCAGCTTTTTTTTTTGGTACATTTGTGGTTAGTGCATATGGGAAGTGTAACACCCCACATACCTTAGTGAATAATTTAAAAATTAGTGTCCTTTAGTTTATAGTTTTAGGGATTAAATTGATTGAATTTAAAATTTGAATGTTTTACGTTGAATGGCCCTAACTCAATTATCCCAATTTTGCTTACCACATGGCATTGTCCCAACCAAGTTTTTTTTTCTTTGTCGGTGGAAACTTTGATAAGCCTCCAGAAGGCCCCCAAAAGTCCCCATTTTTTTTTCCTACGTCTTCCAGCTGTCCCTGCATCCTTTTCTTCCTTCTTTCTCCAGCCAAGGTTAAAGTGCTTTTTTAGGTAAGTATAAGTTTTACTTATGAATTTGTGGTTAGAGTTTTAGGTAGTTTAAATTGGTGAGATTTGATCCTAATCTTTGGTTTATAAGATTTTTGGGTATTAAAATTCAATTAGAAATATCTTTAATTTTGGGGCTTATATGGGAAAGACAATGAGTTATTCCTTTTTATGTTTGATTTGGGTGTAAATGTTTACTTGCCAAAATTATAAGTAAATTGTACTGTTCATGTGCACTGTTCACGAATTACTGTTCGTGATTGTTGTGCACAATTACTGTTTACGTAATTATTGTTCACGATTACTGTTTACACACTATGCATTAATCTCTTTTAATAGGAAGTCCTAAGATTATTTTGGACATATTTTGAATTTGTTTGACATGTGTATGTGTTTGTGGCTATGGAGTAAGTGGACCTAAACTTAAAGCTTGGGGTATTCAGTGGACCCTTCGAGGTACTTAGTGGACCTCTGCGCAGTAAGGTTAGTACTGTGATTAACTCCAGTACAGTGTTGTTAGCACACATCAGTGGACTCCATAGCATTATGTGATTTTTGATTTTATGCATTGCGCTTGTGACATCGTATTTGTGAGCATATGATTTTAGTATATGAATTCAATTTAAATGTCATTGATTATTCCTTGACATGTGTGCTTATGATTTGAGATATTAAGTTATTATTTAAATAGTGAGAATTATACTATTATATGATTTGGTTCTGTTGTGTCTCATGCTCTTTGTGTGTATAGGTCTAG